GCCAGATCTGAATGCCTTAAGGGCTGATTCTGAGGCCAGAGTCTGCTAGGGTATTAAAATAAAAACAGATCACTTTAATACAATCAATGGCTGAGCTGATTGGGAACTGCATTCTGAAATGGAATAAAACCAGGTTCCAATTCTTGTTTCCCCTAATTGCTCAGGCATAATCCTCCAGGAGTCCCAGTGAAAAGCTGTGGGTGTTTTTCAGGTGCTCCCTACACTCCAATTCTTATCTTCCCAGCAAGTAGCTCTGACTGGCTTCTCAAGTGTTTAGCACATGCTTTCTGTCTGGATTTTCTTACCTCTCGATCTGTGCTACTTACAAATCAGTGAATGACTCTGAAGAAAAATTGCTTTAGACTACTGGGCTGATTTCTGTGGATCTATTTTCTTTCTATAATCATGGTCTCTCATGTACTGGCTCATTTGATAGCTTTGAATTCCATTTGTTTTTCCTCCCCAATCCTATGAGACTGCAGAATATTCTGCTTAGCTTCTCTGTTAGCAAGCAGTTGTTCATTGGTTCTTTGTTTCTCCTCACGTGCAACTTAATAAATGGTAAATGTCTCAAGGGGAAAAACAACCTAGAATGGGTGGGCACTCAATTAGTATCTCTCTCTCTCTCTCTCTCTCTCTCTCTCTCTCTCTCTCTGATTTATTTGAAAGGCAGAGATATAGGGAAAGAAGGAGAGAGATCGTCCATCTCTTGGTTCACTCCCCAGATGGCCGCAACATCTGGGGCTGAGCCAGGCTGAAGCCAGGAGCTTCCTCCAGGTCTCCCACATGGGTGGCAGGGGCCCAAGCAATTGGACCATCCTCTTCTGCTTTCCCAGGTGCATTAGCAGGGAGTTGGATCAGAAGCGGAGCAGCTGGGACATGAATCGGCACCCATATGGGATGCTGGCGCTGCAGGGGGCAGCCTAACCCTCCACGTCACAATGCCAACCCCGACTTTCTCTTCTTTCTGAGCCTTAGTTCTCAAATCCTAGTTGCCTTAGTAGGTCTTCCATGACTTCAAATATTTTTAATAAATTTTTATTTTTTTATTTGAAGGGCAGACAGAGTTCCCATCTACTGGTTTACTTCCTAAATTTCTGCAATGATTGGGGATGGGTCAGGTTGAAGCTAGGACCCGGGAACTTAGTCCAGGTCTCCCATATCCAGGACAGGAACCCTGTTATTTGAGTCATCACCTTCTGCCTCTCAGGGTCTGTATTAGGAAGCTGGAGTCAGCTTGGAAACTCTGTAATAGGTGCAGTGTTTTAACCAGAATCTTGACTGCTGGTCAAATACTATCCCCCAGATAGATTATTAAAGTCCAGCTTTTCTAGATATCTTCCATGGGAACACCAGTCTATACTACTAGATAATTCATTATTGCCAGAAGCAGATGTTGAATGTCTTCCAAATGATTTTCACAAACACAAATGATAGTGGAAAGAGTATAACTACCCCTACTATTAACTGTGATATCAACTAAGATTCACTATAGGATCTCTTAGTTATACAAGACAAACCTATTATATAAACTAGTTCTACTATCATTACTTCTTAGTGCATACTTGAAAATTAGACATTTGTGTAAAAGAATGCATTAACACTAAGGGTAATGCTTATTCTACAGGTATAAACATAGCAAACTGAAGTTTAAAGTTTCTCCTTAGTTATTAATTGTAATAACAACTATCTTGTAATTAGGTTTCACTCTAGGACATGGAAATCCATTCTAAAGCTATTAAAAATTGCAGCATGTGTGATAGAAGCTAACAACAAAATATTTGCCAACAGGACTTGAGATTTCTTCCCCCCTGCTTAGTTAATGTTCGCTTTCTGAACACAGACTCACACTGGGGTTTCTAATGTGGATTAGAGATCACAGATTTCCTTCTAGGGCCCACTGGTCACAGCACAGATTTTGTTGTTCATATTTTATTTGTGTACTCTCCAGCTTCTCTTAATGCTTCTCTGATATCTTCTCCAGTCCTGGTGTCCTGGGGAATCCTACTCCTTTCTAGTCTGGTGGACTAGACAAGTTTTACAACCCAATAAGAGCTAGACTTAAGATGAAAGCCAAGTACTCCTGTGAAGTTTGCCCCTCACATCAAGTTTGTTAAGATCATTTGTTTAAAAGTGTTCACATCTGTTGCTTGGCACTGATCCTTAAGCTCCAAGACCCCTACCTTCTAAACTAATTATCCTCTTGTCAAATACTCACAGTTGATTGATTTTATACTCACAAAACTCCCCAAACCCCAAGTTCTCAAAATGAAGGAAGATTGAGATGGGAATCATCTCAATCCAACTATTAAAGAAAGGACATACAAAAACTGTCCCAGTTATGGCTTTGAGGAAAAGCAATATGACTTAGCCTATTCTCTCTGAAAGCATACATTACCCTCAGATGTAAACCATGTTTAATTTCACAGCATGGAATAAATGAGCAAAGGGATCATAAACAACCTGGCTAACCAAAAGCAAAAGAGAGACACAATGCAGCCGAGATCCTGCGGCCCTGTTCCCCACTGAGCTGAGATAATCCACACTTGGCACAGACGAGTTCTCACTGCAAGCTCTCCTTTCTAAACATACAGGCTTTCCAGGAGTGGAAGATGGGAGGGAAGGCAAAAGAAGGGAGGGAAGCAACTGCTATAGGGAAGACCCACAGCGAGAATTAAAATTGTGTGGATTCCCTTTGACTCAGCATGCCAATTTTGGAAATATCTCCTAGGAAATAAAATGCAAACTGAAAGCATGAATGTAGAATGTTTATTGTGATATCATTTGTTATGTAAAAAAGATGGAGGAGCAACATAAATATCTATCAGCAGAGAAATAGTGAGAAAACCTGGAATTTCCTACAATATTAGGAAGCTATTAAAAAAATAATAAATTGGGGGCCAGCATTGTGGTTCAGTGGCTTAAGCTGCTGCAGCCTGCAATGCTAACATCCCATATGAGCACCGGATCAAGTCCCAGCTACTCCACTTCTCACCTAGCTCCAGGCTAATGGGTCTTGGAGGCAGCAGGTGATGGCCCAAGTGCTTGGCTCCTTGCCACCAACATGGGAGACCAGGAAGGAGTTCCAAATGGCCCAGCCCCAGCCATCTGGGGAGTAAACCAGCAGGTGAAAGATCTCTTTCTTCTTCTCTCTCTGTACCCCCTCTCTTTGTAACTCTGCCTTTTGGATAAATACATCTTTAAAATAATAATAATTGTATTTATTAATATAGAATATTAATGTGTATGATCAATTATATGTATTAATATAGAATAATGTACATAATTATAATAAAATGAAACAACAGAGTGACTGGTATTAAATGATTCTGTTTATATACAAGATAGAAAACAATTCTACATATGTTTGAACATAGAAAAGCAGTGAAGGTTTTCACACTAGACTTTTTTTTTAATTTTTTATTATTTTTTTTGACAGGCAGAGTGGACAGTGAGAGAGAGAGAGAGAGAGAGAGAAAGGTCTTCCTTTACCGTTGGTTCACCCTCCAATGGCCGCCGCAGCCAGCGCGCTGCAGCCGGCACGCTGCGGCCGGCGCACCACGCTGATCCGATGGCAAGAGCCAGGTACTTATCCTGGTCTCCCATGGGGTGCAGGGCCCAAGCACTTGGGCCATCCTCCACTGCACTCCCTGGCCACAGCAGAGAGCTGGCCTGGAAGAGGGGCAACCAGGACAGAATCCGGCACCCTGACCGGGACTAGAACCTGGTGTGCCGGCGCCGCAAGGCGGAGGATTAGCCTAGTGAGCCTCAGCGCCGGCCACACTAAACTTTTAATAATGGTTTTGTCAGGACAATAGAGGGGAGAGAATGCAGAGAGTAGCAGCATTTTCTTTATGCACTGCTGTCTTAGACTTGCAACAGTGAGTGTGTGTACCTTGCATAGCTGAAAAATGCAATGCAGTCGAAATACAAAAACGGATTTATTAAGACTGTGTAATTACAAGTAATGCCAGAGCCTGAAGCTCAGTGGGGTATGCGGCTTCTTGCAGGTGTTTTAAATTCATCCTAGCGGCTACAGACAGACAGAAACGTCTGCTCCGGGAGAGAAGGCTCAGCCTGCATGATTCAACAGAAGCCAATTAAAGCACAGAATTGACAGTGCCCTGTAAAAAGCTGGTGGTTGTGAAATGAAAACTACACTTAGTTTCCCAAAACCTCAGCCACAGAGCTTCCCTGGCAGCTGCCTGAGCAGTGAGCAGCCAGCAAAGGTGTGGACGTGAATAGCACCGGCTTCTGTCTGGGAAAATCCCACTATTCCCAGTGTCGACAGGCTTTGTTGGCTCCCGTTCTGGGCTTCCGAGATGAGAAGTACAAAGCTGGCCCAGCCTCTGCAGGGGTAAATATTAAACTCAGTGGGAGAGAAGATACTGCCTGAGCTGCG